GAGGTAAGAGGAGGATGACCCAAGACACCCCAAACTCAACACAGGGGGCTGCATACACCGCAGGGACGGTCCAAAAGACATCCCCTGACTCTAGCACCCTTCACCTGATGCCATCACCCCAAATTTTCTTCCAGGATCTGGGAATTGGTGCCAAAGACAGAGCTGTGAGTGTGACAGGCAGGCAGCAGAGTGCTTCCAAAGGACAGCCAGGACCTACCGCAACTCTTACGAGAATTACCCCAACGTTCTGTGCAAGGGTCCAACTCCCTCCTGCTAGACACGCCGGGCTCAAAACCTGATGGAAACGGTCAAAATTGTGGGGTTTTTGCCTTCCCTGCGGCCAGGTGGGGCATGGCACGGTCCGGAGGCACCAAAAAGGCATCCAGCGCCCTTCCCCGGAGCCAGTGCACAGGGAAAGCCTGCTCCCCGCGATTAAATAAATCATAAAAACAGGGGAATCCCTGCAAATAAAAATAACTTTTCAAAGGCAATTTGTAAAGCACATCCAGCGTCCTGTTCCTGTTTCGAGAATCGATGGTGGAAGGGGTAGGAGGCAGCGCGGAGCTTCACGGCTGATTTTCTGAAGTAAGTATTTATGCATGCACAGTTTTGCATCTTTTTCTTAGAAAACATTTACCAGAAGTGACATTTTAGCAGCCAACCGGTAAATCTTAAGAGCTTTGGAGAAAAAAAAAGATCAATAGAAACAGTGAGCAGCTGCTGCGCCCCTACCCCAAACCAAGCTCCAAACCCAGCTCCCCTCAGGGACCTTAGCTGCAACACAGCCCCATCCCGCTCCTAACGAGTATTTAAGCAATTAACACTCACTAAAGCCATGGAGGAGTGTGGTGGTGGTCTCAGGGGTTTGGGGTGGCTCCTTCTTGCACCCCATCTCCACCAAGTCCTCGCGGGGCTGGAGCCAGCCGGGCAGGTCTCCTGAGGCCGCAGCTCCCTGCAGCCACCTCTTCTCCACCACAGCTGCACACAACCCACAATTAGCCTAACGAGGCCCCTCACACCAGGGCCTCGATGGAGGCACCTCCAGTTTTAACGCTCTCTCCAGAGATGCGTTCTGCACGCCTTCAGAGCAGGGGGTCCTACACTAAACACGCTTTAAGAGTATTTTCTTTGAGTTTCACTTCAGTGTCGAGGGCTCCTGCCTGACTCCATTAAGCATTTCATCACGAACAACATCCCTACCCCTTCCTCACGCTTCCTACAGCAAACGTGCTATAACTCCAGAACACTCATTTCTCATTTTGCTCATTTTCTGGTGCCACTCAAGGGCTTTGGGATGAGAGGAGAGAGCTGGGACGGAGCTGATGAAGCTGATGCTGCCCTCTAAGGTTTGTGCCTGCAAACGGCCTCTGCTCCAGGCAGCAGCAAGGAGAGATCACACAGCTCAACATAAGCATAAACCATCTCCATTTTGTACAACACTGGAGTATGGGTCATTCTTCCTGCACAATCTCCCTCCTTTTCTGCAGTTTCTGAAGCTCGTGAAAGCCAGCAGGTGAACGTACACCGCAGCAGCCAGATCGCGTCCCCAGGAAGGGTCCAGGTTGTGCAGACTCTTAAATTAACCTGAAAGTTTTGCCTTTAACCCACAGCACACCCCATACACACAACTCCATTCGCACAGTTCAGCTGGCATATCTTTGCAACCTTTATTGCACTCAGCATCCAAAACCAGAGGAGGTTTGGTTTGGTAACAGAAGCAGGTGCTCCGCTGAGAGTCCTGAGGGGGAAAGGAGAAGAAAACTCTCATGCAGTTTCAACAGACTCCAACAGAAAAGGAAGGCGCCTCCTGAGAGCACCGCAGATGTGGATACCACAGATGACGTGACTTCTGCTGCTGTTCAGGCACTGCAGATGAGGCGAAGCTCAATAAATAAACGAGAAGGCAGCCCTCCAAGAAGGAACAAGGTACACCAGAAACTGAGTAGCACAAGCAGAAAGGCCCTCCCGTACACAGCCAGGCCAAGACACGTTTATGGACATCAGACAGAACCTGGCTACAGGCTTAAAACTTCCAGTTCAGCTGAACTCCTTACCTGCAGGAGTAGGATTTGGAAAAAATAAGTCTGGGGAAGACGATGGTGGTAAACAGGATGCAGGGAAAGCAGCTTTCTACATTGTCCTGCTGCGTACTCACCTTCAAGAGGCTGACAGTGACCCTGCCGGTCCAGCAGCAGTCAAAGCACGCTCCTGGCCCACTGCCCGCTTGTGACCCTCAAAGACGTAAGCTAGCAGCTAGTAACAAACAGTAATCCTCCTCAAATACCAAGGGAGCGTGCAGTGCTTATTGTCCTATGACCGCATATTACGAAGCGCAGTTAGCTCCACCAAAGAGTAAACATGAGCTATGAATCACGATGTTTCTCTTCTCTTGTTTCTCACGTCCCTTCCTCCTGCAAGGAAAATCCACAACCTGTTCAAAAAGCAAATTCTCTGCATCAAAGTGAGTTCCCTGAGGAACCCTGCATAATGATTCCCTAGAAAAAATACACATCGTAAGGGCAGGTGGAAATTTCAACAGCTAAAGGAAAAATCTGAAACAGACAAAATGAAAGTTTTAACATCCTTGGATACAAAATGTTTGTGCAGGTACAAAGCTATCCTGGCAAAAATAAAGAGAATTTGACTGCTCTAACAAGACTTACGAGCCCAGCACATTAAGAGTTTGTTTTAATCATATTACACTTGGAAATGAAAGTGTTCTCAGCCACATATTTGGTACAGGTATCAGAGGCCATTAGCTGAAGGTCAGCCTCTCTCCCTCCTATTTAAGACATGTTGCTGTTGCAGGCCTGCCTGTTCATCCTGGACAGGATGAGGTTAGGTTTTCCCTTCACACCTACAGAAGCTCAGCTTCCTGTCTGCTGGCTACAAGACAACTCCCTTCGCAGCCCAGGCTTGAAGCAACAATAATCCCCGTATCAGCTCTGGCTCAGGAAGACAAAAAAGCAATTCATTAAGATCAAACATCTTAATCGTAGTGTACAACTCCAAATTCTTACTATCTTTTCAAACTTGCAAATCTAAATGCGGCTGGGCAAGACAAAGGTGACACGTTTCCCTGAACTACCTTGCTATGCCCGCTGTCTTCAACTCATCACACCGGTGGAGTGACTTGCACTTTCTCCCAATTAAGCTATGACATGCCATTCTTTCCACTACTGTAAAAGTGACTGTATTGGGGAAAAAGAATTTCAGGAGGCAACATTGCTAACAGGCTATCTAAGGTTGGCATAAACTGGATTTTACCAAAGTAATTTTTCACTTTAAGAATAGTACTGTGAATTCAAGGCTTATCCTACCTACAAATACTACTCAGATTTCCCTCTACAGCGGTTACTCATGCCTACCACTAGCACTGAGAGCAGCACGTAACATGCTGCTTCACTTGCCAGACACCATGTCCCACCATAAAGTGTAAGAGCTGCTTTGTATTACTTTTTATTTCCACCACGCTCATTACAGGAACCAAAGTAACTTCTTCATCAGCGTTAAAGCTGTTCTCCTACACCACCAGTACTCAAAAGTAGAGCTCCTTTCTTTTTATTCTTCAAATGCTCTTGATAAACAGTAGTAGAGCATATGAAAAAGTACTAGCTCAGATCTTGGCAATTCAGTCAAAAAAGGCATTTATATTTCCATGCCGATTTGGAAACTTCAAAGAACGTATAGCATTTTTTCAAAAGCAATGTTCCTTACTTTCAAGAAACCTATTTCGTCTCTGCCCTGACTGATGAGGTGTCTCCTGATATCTATTGTGTGCATAAGCACACATGTGCTTTCTTCAAGCTTAGTGCTTGATACAAGTCCAAAAACCTGAGTGAAGCTTAAACACTGCAAGCCATAAATCAAGGGCCAAGTCCCACAGTCCTTACACCTTGATTCAAATTCCCAGCCCTATAGTGGAAAGCATCACAGGATTCAAGCTGTACATTCTACGGTACTTGGTGACCTTACCGAAGAGGAATTTAAGATGAAAAAATCCTACCCTGGAAAAAGCTTGATTTATGAAGAGTGAAGTAGGCAGGGTTCCCAGTGATCACTGCTACTTGGAAGCTTGTTCCCAGGATTCTTGATCCTTTGGCTATACTAATTTCATTTGGAGACTAAAAACTATCAAGTTCCTGGCTTGGACTAAAGCTCTGGAGTAGCTCAAAAGCTCCAGAATATGGCAAAAGAGATGAGATTCCAGATGTCCAAGTAACAACACTCAACAGAAGTCTCATGCCTGCTCATATTGCATTTTACTACCTCATTAGACTTCACCAGATCGGATGAATTGGCTCTGCGGTCTCACGAGTCCACTGTTTTGGTTTTTTTTTTTTTTCCTTCCTCTAAAGGTCTCAGCAGCTAGCAAACAAGCTGATCTCAAACTTCAGCAAGAAGCAAGCATGGATGCAGCAATCCCATTCTCCCTTCATGTATTTATCACTTCTGAAACAGCCTAGTGCAAAACCACAAGGAGTTCCAGTTAGATTAAAACTTATCACTGCGTTCTTGCATGGGAAAAAAAAGAGGAATCTCATGTTTGATACAGTGTTGGCTGACACACTTCGCTTTGGAAAGGATTCTGGGATTCTGTTCCCTTACTTTATTTAAACTTAAATAGAAAAAAAAAAGGGTCATGTTCCTGAGTTGAGAACTGTTAAGCTTTCCCTGACAGCAAGGTAAAATAAAGCTCCTCCAAGCATAACCCAGTAAAAAGTTTCTGTAAAAAAAAATAATCTAAGCACATCAAGATGTCTCAAAGCAAATCTGACATTGCTGTGTGAAGAAAAGGTTCTCACCTTCATCTACCTCCAAAATTATAAAAACAAGTCTCTACTTTTTGTTAAGTTCAAACAACTCTTCTCACACACAGGTTGATGCAGATTTACCGAATAATTGTTCGTCCCACAACCGAAGAAACAGGAAATTCATGTGTGCTTAGAGATCTCCGCAGAAACAGGTTTTAAGATAACAATGGGTGCTTGGAAATTTCCTAAGGGGAGTTTTGTCTTCGTCAGTTTTATTTGGTTTTCTCACCAGAGCACTCAGAACACATTCAGTCATATGTTTAGAGCTGCCATGGCCTTCACCAAGGTGATGTGGTTGTTTGAGTCAGTCTCTCTCCTACTGCTATCTGCACAGTTACTCTTGTTGGCCAAGACCTTTTGTCGGTGCCTTTCTTCCTGCCGCTTCTTCTTCTCTAGCCGCTGCTGTTCCTTCTTTTGTTTTTTAGATACCTGAAAGGGGGGGATGAAAACACAAAGTTGAAAACACATGTTTTGTGCTCAGTTGGGGAAAAATAATACACTGGAAAGGAGACAAGCAGATGTCAAAGCAGCTGCCAGAGAATGTTTATTCCAAACTACTTATCTGGACTTTATTTTGTGTCATTTTGGGAACAGTACCACACGTCCCTACTAAATGTTTGTATCAGAGAAGTCACAGCTGTAGCAGCAACAAAATCTGGGAAGGGGAAGCTTTTTTTAATTCAAAGGAAAAAATAGTTGTTGATTAAGCAATCCTAAGCACTCCCTGAATTGTTAATGGACGTGTAAATCAGTGCCAAACCACCCTTCACGTACCTTTGTGTTTCTGCTAGCTCGATTCTCTTCATCGGACCTAGCCTGTCTTTTGTTGTTTTCTATTTCATCTTGATGCAAACTCTGATTTCCAAAGATTCTTGAACCGGTTCTGTTTTCTTCCCGCAGAGTCCTGCTACACGACTTCTGATCTTTGTTCTGGGGATCACACTGCTCCTCAGTACCTACCAACAACAGAGATTTTCCTCAGACACACTCTACCCAGAAGCGGTCTCAGTGTCAGCTATTTCCTTCTTCCAGACTTCCTGGGAAGTGTATTTTTTGGAAGCTGGATTGAATCTGCCCTCACTAATAACCTTCCTGAGCATAGACAGGCTGAGGCAGCAGCACAGCCAACAGCAAGCTTCAACCGCTACTGTCCCTGTTGAACTGCTGTTTACAGTGAACACTAACGTCAGACAGCATTCTTCTGAAGCACCAGGTGACAAACTCTGTGTACTTACTGATTCTTTCCACTTCATTCACTTGAAAGATGGCAAATATTGCAGATTCTATATTGTAGTCTTCCACTTCCAGAATCTGGCTTACTAAATCAATGTCCTGTCCACAAGAGGAGAAAGATAACACTGAAGAGAGTTCAAATCACTGACATACATTCATTTAACAACCATCTGCACCACTGAGAGGGGGCTGCTGTCTGCTTTTATGACCTTTCAATTAGCCTGTATTCCATTTCTGAAAAAGGTGAGGGAGAAAATCTTAAAATCCTGAAGGTATCAGGAAAAAGGAATATGCTGTTTCAGTTTAACTGTTTCACTCTTGACCCTTTCTGTTCTATACATTTGCACAAAACAAAGGAATGTTCTGCAGCAATCCGCCGGAACCACATAGGCTACCCAGTGACAACAGCTAAGATTCACAGGGTATCTAGTCATTTGGGATGTTCAACCACAGACATCCTCAAAGGTTTTAAAATTTTACAGAATTTGTTTCAAAGTAAATTTTCTGAGAGATTGCAAGACAAACCTTCCAAAATTATCAGGTATCCACACAGAGTGCATATTTCATCTGCATTTAAGGGTTGAGTCTAGGATGAAAACCATCCTGATTTGTGGCTGTGGTACTGAAATTGTCCAAGATGAATACTTTTCAGAATTTTTCCCAAGGCTACGTTCATGTATCAAGAAGGTTTGAACATTAAGCATAAAAAAGCTACTCGATACTTACTGAACATCCAGTTGCATTACACACTTTTTGTATAGCATCTTCCATTTCATCTTCAATCTCATCTTCAGAGTCACCCTTCTGAGGCTTCACTTCCTCCTCCTTACTCGAATCATTTCTGCAAAGCATCTGCAAGAAAAGCAAAGCCCAGCAGATCACAAGCACATGCAGCAATTTGATCATATGCAGTAAAAAAAATCTGACGTCATAATAAATATAATTATTATAGCATGCTTTTCTCAGAAATATCCTGTGCCAAAGCATCTTGCAAATTGTGTAACTTCCATCATCATCAACATTTCCCATGACTCATACACTACTGAGCAAATTCTCACATACTACAAGATATGTATACCAATAAACAATCACTGGCTTGTGAAATTAAGTATTGATTTTTTTACAATATCACACATTATACAGTTGTGTGCAGAGAACCTCAAGGACAGCATAGCTTACTCTTTTACACGAGAAAGAGAGATATGAAGAGGACTACTGTATCCAGCTGTTGCATTTCCATCTCCTTCCTCCCTTCCCTTTGTTTTTGCATTCGAAGTGCATGAGTATGTAATTTAGATGAGGTTGCTTCAAGACATCTACAGCCCACATCACAGCATCAGATTTGGGATTGATTTTCAGCCCAGTAATTTAAACACTTCACAGCCGGTCTCAAGAGAGCAGGCAGCACTAGTTACAATGACCTTAGGGGCTTTTCTATCCCCAGCATGACACAGGGACCAAACTCTTCTCTCAGTCTCAATGCAAATGAGAAAGGAAATCAACCAGTAACATTCATCTGTTTTATTTATCACCCACAGCTGACTCAGGTCATTCTGTCATAACCAACCTCCATCTGAAGATACGCTGGAGCTTCAGAATTGTCATTGATTCTCCTCACACTGTCATAGTGCTCTCCATAACGATATGCAATATGAAGTTCCCTCACATTGTTTTTGTCTGTGCCCCGAATCTAAATGAAACAAATAAATTGCAAATGAGGACTTGGAATCAACTTCAGCATCGTATTTTTCAAAGTATTATTTTTTTGAAGCAATGATAAACACTGTGATCGGAAGCAAAGTACGTAGCTACTGAAGCATCTTTAAACAGGAAGAGGTGACCTAATAATCCAGATGTGCCTACAGTAACAACAGAGCTTCTCTCTCAAGGATAACGTTTGAAACCCAGATACACAACGTTGGGTCAAAACAAACAAAACATGGTATGGAAATATTCCAGTGGAAAGCTCAAAACTATTTTCTAAACTTTCCACAGAAGCTATTCGTTTTCTGATCATCTTTCTGACCCAATTTCAGTGACAGCTCCCACTGAGGATACAATGTCTTTTTCCCCTCAAACGTGAGGAAAAAAGAGTCCATTCAAGTTATGACCACAGTGGAAACAGTCACGCCGAGTAAGTTTTGTTCCGCAGCTGGGACAAGATGCTGTTTTAACAGTTAGCATTCAAAGTGTATATGTTTTGTTTTTAAAAGAAAGACTAATAGAAATAAAGCCAAACTATGAAAATGTATTAACTCCATTCAGGAGCACCGTTAAGAACCAAATGTTCCTTTGCTTTGTCAGCACCAAGTACAGCAATTTCAGTAGAAAATTCCTGCTCTGAGTATTATCTGTACTGATGCAAGAATAATTCCTATCCCAATCATCAGTGTCTCAAAATATTAGCTAAAAGCCACACAACATTCCCAACTCTTGCAAGGAGTGCAGAAAATTACACTGCATTTGCAGATCTCCTTTGCTTACCTGTCAAGCCAGAGTTCAAAGATCTGACACCTTTCCTGGAGAAGACATCAGTAAGTAAACGACAAGAAATGCTTGCTTTAGGGCTCCAGAATTTCCCAATCCTGTCACATCTTTGAATCAGCTTATCCCAACTTATAGAATTTACACCAAGTCACTTTTCAACCACGTCTGCAGTTTGTGTTGCTTGTGTTTTGTTTGACTAATGACTTCAGATTTCACAACAGACACTCTCCATTCATCTACTTCACACTTGTTCACCTTTAAGTTCCAACTCAACACTTGGTTATACTTAACTCTTGCCTTTTATCCTATTAAGTTATTCAACATGTTGGATCTGAGTAAGATTTATTTTCAACATTTCTCCTCTGCCAGAGCCTAAATAGGTATCTGATGAATCCCAAAGCTCTTGAAAGATTATTCTGAAAATTAGCCAGTTTAGCTTTCAGTGGTGCAGCCTCTTTTTGCATGCTCTCTTCACAGATAGCTGCAGATAAAAAAAGGCAAAAACACTGAAAAAATGTAAGCAGTCATCCAAAAAGCCAATAAAATAACCTATACATCTGAGCTAACTTGAAGTTCTACATTTACAGTCATTACCAAAAATGGTAAAGGGTGTTTAAAGCCCTGAATAGTCCATGCAGAGATGCCCACCTCCAAAGAGCTTTTGATTAGCCCAAAGCTTGAGAAACAGCTGGAGGTCCTGAACACTTCTGCTCACATTTTTCCACCTTAGCTGCAGTGGATACAAATGGTTCTCTTAAAATTAAAGGATAACTCACCATCTTCTTTAGAGTGGGGACCAAAGAAGATATTCACACCATCTGCTTTAAGCACCTTGTTGATCTGCCTCTCTGGAAATGCTCTCTTTGGAATCTAATCTAAAATTTTGCTGGGGCTCCAAAGCAGAGAGAGGGAAAAAAGGTATGTAGATGTACAGAAAATTAAGAAGAAGGGTGTCCTGGGCTAGTCAAGTCTAGCAACTTGCTAACATTGTCACCATGTTGTGATCCCCTACATTATTTGACGCCCTGATGTATCCTCTGTGTGGGTTGGAGACTCCTTATGTTACAACTCTTAACAGCTCTCTTTACTTACGCCATTCTCAAGAGCGTAAGACAACCTTTCACTAACAAGACTACACTCAGGCAAAACAGAACCTCACCACAAACTCTGTATTTACAACCCTGGAAATGTCAATGAATGGGGAAAAAGAGTTTAAGGTTTTCGAGAGATATACAAAATATCGGTAAGAGTTAAGTACACTGAGGTGAGTATCCGGTTCAAAACAGTAACAAAACATGAACAGCACCCCCATGAACTCTCCTGCAGGGTCATTACCTCTGTACGCTCTCGCAGGTCAAGCAGTTTAGTATTCCCATTCATTTGTGTAATTGTCAGGTACACTTTTTTTTTTTTTTGAAATATGTAGGTTAGCTGTCTTACTGCTCATGGCTGCCATATAAATAAAGGTTTAAACTTGTTTGGGTTCAGGAATCCACCTGACACTGTTTCAAATGTATTTAAGACACCACTGACAGCTTTCATCTGGTCTTTTATCTTTATTGCCATGTTTAATCTACGTATTTCATTGGTTCTGTCTGTAAATTGGGGCCAGAAACAATCCTGACTTGAATACAGGTTCTCACTTGCTCAATGAACTGGCAGAGATTGAGCGTGGACCCATTCCAGTGTGGACATGCCACAGAAAAACAACAAAAAAAGAGAGTAGGAGGGACCTGATGGATTACTTGTTCCAGGGTCCTACTGTCAGAGGAAGCCATACACACAGTCCTTTCCAGAAGCTGATTAAACACCGCCTTAAGGTTTTAAAACTTCCTCCCTCTTCTGCCCAGTCCAGAACCTCACTTCTCCAATTGTCAGAAACCTTCTCATTCCAAATCCCATGCAGAATTGATGGAGCTTCATTCCAACACACTGCAGGGACTGCCCTGATATACCTTCACTTCCATATTCCTGAACCTTATCATACAGGTTTCCTTAAGCCTGACTCAAATTCCTGTCAGAAAAATCACCTCATATGTAGTCTGATCTTCAGGAGAGAGAAACATATCAATGAGGCTAGTAGCTTAAAACCAAACTAAAACATGCTGCTCAGTCTCCGCATACTTATCTTTCATGCATTCATTGTTTTCTTTCATTCCCTCTCCTCCCAGCTGAAATCTGAAGTGTTTTCCTTCAAGGCTGAAAAAGCAAGCACAGCTTTACACCATGTCCAGCTAACTATGGCTACCGACTGCTCTCTTTTAATAGATCAGGAAGTTTCAACGCTGTTTGTATTCATCAGCTAAAAATTAGGCCAAATTATCGAAGTTTTGTTTCTCACCTGCCACAGTGGAGCATTAAGCTGATGAATAACCACATTCATTTGATTGTTCCTTGCAAAGGCCACAATAGCATCATTGCCAGCAAAGGTACCAGGCTTCGCCAAATTGGTAACTAAAGGAAAAAACATTCAAAAGAGTTGGAAACGTAGTTGGAGGGATAGCGAGTAACAAAATTTCAACACAAGCCCAAGAAATTCTGGAAAGGAAATCCCAACTGTGAAACAGTGACTGCTGAGGCAAGAATTTGGCAGCGACAGAAGTTAATGCACCTTAAACGACCACAGAAACCTCTAAAAAATGCAGTACACCCTTAGATTATGCAAGGCTGTCAGCTCTGCGTTAGCGCGGAAGGAAGAGTGCCACATACTAAATGACCAAACTGCTTTCATGCATCACCTGCATGGTACTTGGCACATCCTCGAAGCTGTTAGAACAAAGGCTGTATTGGTCTCTGCTTTGGATCTTCCCCTGGGTTACCACTACAAAATATCAAGTGTCAAGGAGAAAAAGAAACCCAAAGAAATCAGCCACTCAACACCCACCAGTATTCACGGAGAGCTAGACAATTTTTGCAACTTCCTTTTGAAAACACCAAATTTTTACTCCTTGCCTTTTTTTGCCTCTCTTTCCTTCTCCAAGTTTCTCCTACATTTAAACAATTTCCACGACAAAATTAATACAAGCTTAATAGCTCGTCTTTCTACAGAAATATAACAGAGAGAAATGTAAACTCACTGTTTCTAAAAACCAGAGAGGAGACCTAACATAGTTCTGGGATGAAGAACTGTTTAGTGGGAAGGTGCTCAAATGAGATGCAATCACATTACACAATAACCCCTTCCATTAGTGTCCTATGGAGACCATACCGTGTTTCTCAAAGGGCACATCATCCTCCACAAAAGGCTCAAAATCCTCCCGCTGATTTATCATGTAATCCACTGTTTCCTGGCGATGTCTGAGGTGGTTCCGCGAGTGCCCCTCAAGCTGGTCACCGAGGGCCCGAAACAAACAATTGCTACCAAGAGAGAAAACGCAAGTCAGCGTGTCTGGAACACAGCTAATAGATACACCACTAAGTCAATGACCCTGGCATAGCAGCGGAAAGAATATGGTATTAAGGGGAAAGGAAAAGAGCTGCGCTCTTTCTGCCCAATAAGTTCGACAAGGATATGAATGTGAAGTAGCACTCATTCCCTGTGCTTTGAACAGCTGCTGAAATTAGAAGAAATGCTGGTAGGAACATAAGGTTTTGAGTGAACATGTCATCAGCCCCAACAAAGTAAGTCAAAAGCGGTTAAGAGTGCTGAGCCAAACTGTCTTAAACTGACACTGAGACAACTGACATAATGCAACCCAATGATCTACTACGGAATTTCTCAGCAGACACATCTAATACCCTTTCACCCAATACTTATGGACCTTCCTGTGCTCTGCTCAGCAGGCCCGTGGAACCCTCAGCCCCCTGGGGATCAGGCCTAGGACTAGCAGAGCCCTCAGACCGGCAGGCAACAGGTCAAGGCAGCCATCAGCCCCAGGGGACTCAGGCCCTGCACAACCACAGAGCAGAGTCCCCTGATCCCTGTGGGGTACAGCCTTATCCCTGCGGAGCACTGGCCCCACTCAACCCCGAGGGGAAAGCCTCAGTCCCCGGGGACAGCAGGCCCTTGGAAGCGCCGGCCGCGGGAGCTCCAGGG